ACTGTATCCTGTTGATCCATCTGCCTTCCTTAAATAAGAAAGGTGGTCATTCTCATTCATCATCACCCCCCCCCTCCTTCCACCCGAAAAATGATTTTAACAGAGAGGGCTACCCGTTGGTTCATTAGGTCCCAGATTGTCGAGGAAATGAAGCTATCACTTTATATTACGAAATGTTCTATTGATTCGCTTGATTAACAGGAAGGTAATGCATCGTTAGTAATAACCTATGTCTCCCTACTACCCCCTCTCTTTCCCCCTCCTTCCCCACCCATTCTCCCCTCCACCTTTCCCAGACTATTTTCTCTTGATCTGTTAAAAGTGCACCAAAACTTCAATCCTCTTGACATATTCGTGTTTTGTTTGGGAGGATCAGATACGATTTCGGCCGCTCTAAGCCTGCTCATGCTGCCTACGTCGCTCAAGTTGAAAATGCTCAAGATCTTGACTAATGAGAGAAAGCATAGATTTGTGTTTCTGGGTGCGCACTATCTATCTTGACCACTGTGACAGCTTTTAAAAAAGCCCACCCCCTCCAAAAAAACAAACAAACAAAAACAAAACAAAAAAACAAAACAAACAACACCAAGAAAAAGAAAACCCAACCCAAAAAAACTTCGCTGTGAATGTGTGATGCGTGCACACCATTGGCCGCACCATTACGCCTAAAATAAAGGGCGAAACACCATAATCCTGCTCATGTCTATAATAGTGCTCGTGGCATCTTTGCACCTAGCTCTTCTTTTCTTTCGTTATTTTGGTAAGTGTTTTACGGCGCTCGCAACTGCATAAGGTCATATGAGCGCGCGGGACACATTAAATATTTTCATTTGGTAGGAAATTTTGAATTTTGCTCAGGTGGCGGCTGAATTCTACTCTTATTGATTTTAGACCATCAAGGGATCTTTAACGTGCGCGACTTCCAAACGGGACCTCCGAGATTTTTTGCGCTTGTCCGGGAAGGCGACTTGTAGATCTTTCCTGCCATAAAATCAGGAGTGTGCCAGAAAGTCAGCAGTGAGAAGAAGCCAAGGAGTAGCAGTAGAAAGGCTGCAGAAAGAGTCAGGATCCCAGAAGAGGGGGAAAAGGGGGTGGGAGCAGAAAGTGGAGGCGAAAGCAAACGACAGAAAATTGTTACAGAGCAGGAAAGAATGTGAAAGGAGAACCCACGACTTATTGTCAAATGGTATACCTCATTGTGAACCGGATCTACGCTAGAGTGCATGGTCTAGGCTATTATAATAGAAGTCTAATTTTTTT